AAAAAAAAAAAAAAAAAAAAAAGGCCTGGATGCAGAACTGAAATATGATATGGAAAGTAATAAGGAGCCACTGAGGATTACGGAGGTGGCTCTTAGGGCAGTCCCTCTGGCAACAGCGCGCATTGAGGTGGGTCAGAACAGAGGCAGAAGGGCGGATGATCAATCTGTCCTCAGCATGCTTTTAAAATATTACCATTAATCATATGTAATTCTCCCCAAAGCCCTACTGTGCTGAGCTCTAGAAAAGAGATTTTCCCGGAAGGGCTTTGGAGCTCAGATTTCAGTATCTGCATGCCAGCCAGTCCAGGCCTCACTCCCCAGCAACCCTGCCCCTACTGGGCTGTGAATCACTGTCACAGGGGCAACAGGCGGAGGCTGAATCATTCTGGGGCTTCAGGATGAAAAAAGTCAATGACACAACTAATTGCTTCAAGCATTCACAACAATGATGCCTTTAAAAGATACATAATACTTATTTTGACATTTAATTGTCCACTGCATCAAACCATATACTAGGAAACATGAGAGTACTGTAATTAAGAACACACGTTTTGGAGTCAAACAACTCTGATTTTTAATATCCTCTGCCCCCTACTAGCTGTGTGACAATGAGCCAGTTACTTAACCTCTTTGATGCACATTATTCTTATTTGTAAAATGGAAATGAATAATAATACTTGTCTCATAGGATACCATAAAAATCAAATGTACTGATACGTGTAAAATTCTTAAGTTTCTGGTATATAGGAAGTACCTAATAAATGATGAAATGATTACCATGATGATGGTGGTGATGATGATAAAAGCTACCAGTAGAACTTCTGCAGTCAGAGTTGAAACAGGGAGAGAGAGAAGGAGAAACAAGCAAACAAACCGATACGCCCAGAATTGAATTGGACCGCCAGAGAACACTTCTATCTATTTCGAATACATCTGTAGAAAAGGATAGATTTAGGCTAACCTCTGAAATAAACTAATACATTTTAGTCTAGAAGTAAGGACAGTGTTAAGTGTAAGTACAACTATTTTGCTATAACTGCAACAGACAACAGTAAATTCTACCCACTGCAGATGGATTTGGCTGTGTCACAGAAATGCTACTGCTATGAAACGTAATGAAAATGTCATGGGATCCCAAAATGTTGCGATAAAGATAACTTTTTAAAAATGTAAACATATTTCAAAAGCACTAGATGATT